TGGGAGAGATCATAGTAAAAGGGATGTGGATACGAATAATTGTGCACTGAGCTGTAGGCAGGGATGGAGCAGGTGGATCAGCGGGAGTGGGGACCTGAGTGGGAGGTGGAGGGGCTGTGGCTGTGGACAGGTTCAAGTAGTCAAAGGCTTGAGAATCAAGAGCAGACTGGTAAAGCAGGGGACTGAGTTTAGACAAGCAGTTGTTTGACAGGGTTTTAGCTAAAAGGACTTCCTGGGTGTGGCAGTGACACAGAGGAAAAAAGAAAGCAAGCTTGAACCCAGGGTACTTCAGACCACTTTCCCATGCAATGGCAGAAATGGTCAAGGTAAGTAAGAATTTGAAAATCAAACGTGCCATTTTCCGGCCATAAGGACCAACTGTCCAGTTTATACTGTGGCCAAGCCATGTTTCAGTTAAAAATTAAACAGGGAGGCTTAATATTGCCTTGGAGTCCCAGAGGTTTCGGATTCTTAAGGAGACAGGCTAGAGGAGTGATGGGGACAGTTTTGGAAAAGGAAGTGAGATCCGTCTTCTCGGTGCTGACCATGAGGGGGCAGCGGTGAGAAGTCCCACTAGGAAAGCCAGAACAAGAAAGAAAGTGAGAATGGAGCTGCAGGAGGAAGAGAGAAAGAGGCGGGAGTGTCCTGGGTACCAATGAGCTAGAGCCAAAGGGCGTCCCGCAAGGCTCAGGACACGCGGGAGGGAGCGAGACCCAAGGTGCTGAGAAGGCGGCCCTTGTCTAAGTCAGGGAGCCCGCTGGGGGCCAGCCTGGCGTGCCAGCACAGGGTTAGAGAGAGCAAGCAAAGCCCGATCTTTGGTTAGAGAGCAAGGCCAACCCTGATCTTTGGACGCTTACCAAAGGGCAAAGGAAAGAGGAAGTAGGACATCCAGAGGCTAGGCTGAATTGTGGTGGGCAAGGAGCCCGTATCGGGTAGTCTAGTCTGAGGCCATCAGACGGTGTGGACAGCAGCTCAGTCGTCAGGTCAGGGAAGGAGATTCCGTGGTCCAGAAAGGGGCCTGGGATGCACCAGCTGTTAGCTTCATGAAAAGACTAGGACCACTAGATACCACTCTGAGGTGAGAAAAGAAATTTTTTGGAAGGGACGAGCTGGGTTTTATAGGATTTCTTTCTTCTGTGGGTAGGGAGTGGTGGGACTGTAGCAGGAAGGTGAGTCAGTAGCAGGTGGGGGGACATCTCAGGTGTTTTTCAGTTGTCTGCAATGGAAAATTGTTATGATTTGGGTGCACTGTTAAAGGTCAGGTGGTTACTGAGAAACTAGGATGGTTTGGTTTCTGTTTCCCTGAATGCTGCTAGCCAAGTTGTGCTCACTATGTTGCTGGTCAGTAGTGACTACATTTTGGGGGCCCAGTTCAGTCCAACAGAAACAAACCCCTTTTCTTGCCCAAGTTGCTTTTCGTCAAGTGTTTTATCACATCAAAAAAAAAAAAAAAAGTTAACTAGAACAAAGAACATAAAGTTCATTGACCTAGTTTCAGATTCCATATTTTTTATTTTTGGTCTTTTTGAAATAAGGTCTCCCTACAGCCCCAGGTGGCCTGTAATTCACAATGTAAACCATGCTGGCCTGGGTCACATAGAGATCTGTCTGCCTCCACCTCACAGAGTGCTGGGATTAAAGATGTGTGCCACCACACTCAGCTGTAATTTACATTTTTTTTTGTTTGGTTTTTGTGTCTTTTTGAGATAGGGTCTCCCTGTAGTCCCAGCTGACCTGAACTCACGATGTAGACCAGGCTGGCCTTGAACTCATAGAGATCCACCTGCCTCTGCCTTCCGAGTGCTGGGACTAAAGGTGTGCTGGCACTTTACATTTTTTTAAAGAAACTACCAATACCCAGCTGTAATTTACATTTTTAAAGAAACTACCAAAGTCCAGTTATAATTCACATTTTTAAAGAAACTACTAATGCCCAGCTGTAATTTTCATTTTAGAAACTAACAGCCGGGCGTGGTAGTGCATGGCTTTAGTCCCAGCACTCGGGAGGCAGAGGCAGGCAGATCTCTGTGAGTTCAAGGCCAGCCTGGTCTACATAGTGAGTTCCAGGACAGCTGGGGCTACAGGGAGACCCTTTCTCAAAAAGACAAAAAAAAAAAAAAAAAGAAAAAAAAAAGAAAAGAAACTAACAATGTTGGATCTTCCTAAAGTATCAACAAAAATACACACAATTATTTGAAGAGGCTAAATATCCCTCCTATACTACATACTATGAAAAATTGAACTCTGGGGGGCTGGTTAGATGGATCAGCTGACCTGAGTTCCATCCCCAGGATCCACATGGTGGAAGGAGAGAACACACTCCTATAAGATGTCCTCTGACCTCCACAAACATGCATACACACACAAATAAGACTCAGTGGTAAGAGCACTCGCTTAGCATGCCGAAGGCCTTGGTCTATTTCCAGCAGCAAAATTAATTTAAAAATAAGTATTTTCTAAAAACAGTTCAACCAAAACTTCACACCCCAACAGTTTAAATGTAGATTTGAGAATCCAGCTGACTTCTATAAAGCCCAGATATTGAAAACATATGTATTTAAAAAGGTATTGTAAGCCAGGTGTGGGGGCACACATCTTTGATCCCAGCACTTGGGAGGCAGAGGCAGGCAGATCTCTGTGAGTTCGAGGCCAGCCTGATCTCCATAGTGAATCCAGGACAGCTGGGGCTACAGGGAGACCCTGTCTCAAAAAGACCAAAAAAGAAAGCTATTGTAAATATTTTTTTTTAAAAAGGGGGGAGCTGGAGAGATGGGTCAGCTGTTAAGAACACCAGTTGTTCTTGCAGAAGACCCAGGTTCAAATTCCAGCACCCACATGGCAGCTAACAACTGTCCATAACTCCATTTCCAGGGGATCTGATGGCCTCTTCTGTCCTCTGCGGGCATTGCACGACATGGGTGCACTTACCTACATGCAGGCAATACACACATACACATAAAATAAAAATAAATACAATTTTTAAAAAGCTATTGTATTTTTGTAAATTATTGCATTTTTGAAATTTATTTTTCATTAAAATATCACACATCATTGACCGTTAGCCCAAAGGAATTAAAGATGTCTAGCTGTCTAATATGTTTTTCACATTGACCCATTTTAGAATAGTCTTTTGTCAAATGTTTGTCAAATGTTACAACCTGAAATTTTTCCCTTTTTCTTCTGTTTAAAACTCTATCAAGGAGCTGGAGAGATGGCTCAGTGGTTTAGAGCACTGACTGCTATTGCAGAGGACCCATGTTCAACTCCCAGCACCCACGTGGGAGTTAACAACCATCCTAACTACAGTTCCAAGGGATCCAACACCCTCTTCTGACCTCTAAGGGTACTGCATGAGGCAGATGCACTTATGTACATGAAAACAGTAACACATAAACTAAACACAAATTAAAAAAAAAAAAAACTGTATTAAATAAGGGCTGGAGACATGGCCGAGCAGTTAAGAGCATGGCTGCTCTTTCAGAGGACCTGGGTTCAAGTCCCAGCACCTACATGGCAGCTAACAACCATCTATAACTCCAGTTCCAGGGGATCCAACACTCTCTTCTGACTGCTACAGGCACTGCACAGCACAGGTGCACTTTCACACATATAGGCAACGCACTCATACACAGAAAATAAAATCAATAAATAAAATACTAAAAAACTGTATCAAGTGGCATGGCACCCGCCTTTAAAATTCCAGCACTCAGCAGAGGCAGCCGGATCTCTGAGTTTAAGGTCAGCCTGGTCTACATAGCCAATTCCAGGCCAGCTGGGACTACAGGGAGACTCTGTCTCAAAAAAAGACACCCCCCCCAAAAAAAATCCCAACTCTACCAAGTAATTCTAACATAGTGTTGTTTAATATGTTAAGTTGTATTGCTGCACAGAAAATATGGTTTAAACGATTTTAAATGTTATTATGCAATGTTTCTGTGTGTGTGTTGTGTAGGTGTAAGTGTGCACAGGTGTGGATCCATGCGCACTGGAGGCCAGAAGACAACTGGTGGTCTACCCAATCACGTGCCTCTTCATTCTTGAGATAGGGTTTGTCCCAGCCTAGAGCTAAGCTAGCAACCAGCAAGCCCCAGTGATCCTATCTCCATCCCTCCAAAATGCTGGGGCTAGCTTTTCACAAGGGTGATGAGAATTTGAATTCAGGTCCCCATATTTGCACAAGCGATTTCCTGCTGAGTCACTTTCCCCAACCCCATATTGTTTTTAAACGAACTAAAGAAGTGTAATACTAAGTTTTAATTTCTCCTCTGCTGAAAGCCAACAGCTATAACCCACATAAAGACTCTTGGGGAATCTTCAATAATTTCTAAGTATAATGAATTCCAAGGCCAAAATGATTGGGAATCATCCTAAAATGCACATCTGCTTAAAAACCTTCCAGTGGTTCTTTTCCCCCGCCTCCCTCACTGGTCCCTGCTTTGGCCTGCCAGGCTCTACTTAGGTCCCTGTCCGGGTCCTCACCCCCTCCTCCAATAATCCCAGCATCTTCCCACTGTCAGGCCCACTGCACTGACAGTCCCCATTACAGGGAAAACAACTTCCTATTTTCTGCACGGCTATTTCTCTTAATTCCTCCGTCTTCGCGTCTCTGCATCCTCCAACCCTTTTGTCTACAGTTCGAGCTATGCCTCCCGCATCTAGTATGTGTAAATCCCCAAATCTCTGGAAAATGCATAGAACTCGGTTTGGGGGAACACTTGAGTCATCATTTTTCCATTTCTAAAAGCACACCCAGTTTCCCAAGACAAAGAGAGGGTGACACCCAAAGTGAGGCGAGGCCAATTAGAAATGGGAGGGAAGGCACTGCAGGCCTGACGACTTCTTTTGGGAAGTCGGGGTGAGAAGAATGTTCTAAAGCTGCGTATGGTGGATCTGGAGCTGTACTGTCGCCCGCGGTTCCTATTCACACTCTCACAAAACCTTGGTCCACAGAACCCTCCCCGAGGCCCTGCACCGAACCACAAGCAGTTCACACCAAGAGATAAGACAACTTCTAAACTTTATGAAAAAACGTTATCAACTATAGAAAAACTGCGTCTACACCCCGCCTTCACGCCCGCGTCCATTTTCTCCTGGCCGGCTGGAGGACCTCTCCATCCGCTCAGTTCTCAGGGGTCCCAGGGGTCCGAGCGGTCTCTCGATGATCAGAACGGTCCACAAGCAAGCAGGTCAGGTGAGGCACACCTGGCAAGGACTTCTGCACACGGAATCCTCGAGAAGCAGGCGCCGTGGGGAATCGGTGCACCGATGGCAGGCTGGAGAAAGTTCGAGAACAGGAGCCACGGAACAAGGAACATTCGAGAACGGGAGCCACGGAGCCACGGTGCACCGGCGGCAGGCGGGGGAAGGCCGGGCACCGGCGGCTCAGTTCTCCTCCGGCTTGTCGGCCGGCGGCCCACAGGGCTGCAGCATCTTCTCCATCAGGTTGAAGCGCACGCGAGCTTTGCTCTCATTCTCTGCTATGGCGAAGTAGTTGAGGAGGTCGAAGTGGCCCATGTAGGAACAGTAAGAGTCCCGGTGCTGGTTCACCAGCCACTCCCACTTGGTGGTGTCGGCGTGGCCCGTGCCGATGTACTTGGACTGCAGATGCTCCAGCTGGCTGTGGATGGTGTAGCGGTCCGTCATCTCGTCGCCCTGCCGGGTGCTCCCAGAACACAGACCTCAGCCCACGAATCGCCTTTCAGCTTTCCCTCGGAACAGGAGCCGCTACAGGGAACCGCCGCTCAGCAGGCGCAGGAGAGTAACGTCACCGCGATGCTTGCGTACACGCAGCCACGGGTTTCTAGGCGGAAGCGGATGTGTATTCTGTCTCGGCACTGGAGTTGCAGAGGAGACTTGTGTCGCCCCTCCACCGAGCCCGCCCCCTTCGCAGAGCATTGCCTGATGGTCCGCTGTGTGACTCTGGGTCAGCCCGCTTCTGTACAGCGCGTTGCATGCTGGGACTTGTAGTCCAAGGAGTTGGTGTTTTCCCCGGACTTGTAGGCCTGATGGTGGACACGGAGGGGTAGCGTCGGAAGGCGGCTTGGGCTAGAGGAATGGGAAGCCATAGTAGGCCTCAAGCGACCGGGAAAATGAACTTTTGTACCTAGAAGTTAGGTGGCACGGTCGTCTCCTCACAACCAGATCACACTTGGCTTCAACATTATCTCTTAGGAGGTGGGGGTGGGGGTAGTTTTTTTCAGCCCCAGCAGGGCCTCCTGGGTGATCAGTGTCAGCACTGCTGGCCCCACGTGGCTCTTTCATCAGCTCGTTGCTGTCTGCATCTGAATTGATACTCAGGCTACAACTCTTCGCCAGCCGGCCCCCAGCTCTGAGCTCCCCAGTTCGCAGTGCAAACTGTTCCCACTTTCTGTACTTGGCAGTGCCTCTGTTCTGTCGCAAACAGCCTCCTTTAAAGCCACTCACAACCATCTCCTTGACCTCAAGTGTGGCCAAAGACAAGTGGAACCTCTCCTTCCTCTGCATCTATGTCTCTCTGCCTCATTACCCCTTGACTATTGGAGTTACCCAGGGAGAAACTGCTTGAGAAAAAGTTTCAATACTTAAATGATATCCGTTAATGATACACCTATAGCCTGGGGATTATAGTCTCAAAAAAAATTGTTTTTGATGACTGGGTAAAGAATTTTTACAGCCAACTTGAAGGAACTCTGCAAGACAACTTAAAAAGACTGTAGTTCTATTCTGTTTAAACTTTCCATAATAAGCGTCTGGTCTAAAATGTGAAGAATATAGCCGGGTGTGGTAGTGCACGCCTTTAATCCCAGCACTCGGGAGGCAGAGGCAGGAGGATCTCCAGGAGTTCAAGGCCAGCCTGGTCTCCACAGGGAATCCAGGCCAGCTAGGGCTACAAGGAGACCCTATCTCAGAAAGACCACACACACACACACAGAGTGAAGAATGTAAGACATACTGTTAAGGTTCAGATAGCCCCCCCCCCTCACCAACAGAGCCTCACAGACCTCAAAAGCCCCTGAGAAAAGGGAACCCAGTTGATAAGCATCCTGGTCTTTGAGAGAAACAGACTTTTCTCCACTGTTTGGCCAACACAGCAGGCTTCCCCTTTGATCTCTAAAGAGGACAGGTTTTAACAGTGTCTTCATGTTGTGTCCCCCCCTCCCAACTTAAAAAAAAATACATCTTCCTGCCTTCTTCAGGAAGCAGAAGCCTCCCCCTTTAAAAAGACCCCAGCTCACTGCATGGGTAGACATTTTATAAAAAGACTCCAGCTCACAACCAGTGGCAGACATTTTCCCTGCCGGGAAGGGAATCTGTCCCATGTGTTCCTTTGCTAATAAACTCTATTCCGAAGGAGTTTTATCTGTGTCCTGGTGCTTTCTCCTGATCAACAGGATTCATCCATAGGCTACTTTATCTATCACGTATGACACATTGCTTCCCCATCATGTTTGTTTCTGCTTTTTTTAAGAAGGCCTCAAATTCTGTTCACATACGTTAGACTTCGAAGTACAGTAATTATGGGCATGAGCCACCATGTCAGGCTTCCTTTGGCCAGTTGTGTTGTTTCCAACTTTATTGGTAATTTGTTTTAATTTTAATTATTAAAGAACTAGCACTCATTTATAAGCTTTAGGTTCACTGTGCTCAACACTGTCACTTGAGGATTTTATCCTAAGTTGAATCATCCCTGAGTCTCATTTTTGTCTTTTTTTTAATTATTGAAAAATTTAACACACATATATTAAGCTTTATTTAAATAATACTTTTTATATATTTCTGTGAAAGTTGCTTTTCCTCTAGTGAGCATCCGTGTTGATATGTAATTTCAATTCAGTTTTACTACTATGTAGGTCATCAAATTATACCATAGCATGTATACATATATATATATGTATATATACATATGGATTTCCCCCCATATTTTTGCTATTAGAAACAATGCTGGGGGAGGGAAAGGGTGCAGAAAGGGTGGTTGGATTTAGTTTATGTATGTTATATGCATGAATAGAAATGTACTTCATTAATATGTATAGTTAATAAAAGTTAATAAAAAATAAGAGGCTGAGGTGATTGCTCAGTCAGTAAAGTTCTTACTCCACAGGAGCGCCCGAGTTTGATTCCCCAGAACCAGCATTTGAAAAAGCAGGGCTATCCTGGCACATCTGTAAGCCCAATACCAGGGAGTCAGAGACACTTGGACCCCTGGGGCTCCATGGACAGCTGTTCTAGCGTTGGTTGTTACAGACCAATGAGAGAACACACCTCAACAAACAAGGCAGGTAGCACCTGAGGAACAGCTCCTAAGGCTGGCCTCTGACTCACACAGACTGGTGCTCATATGCACCTGCACACATGAGCACACACACAAAAAGAAGCAACGCAGGGAGTGTGTGTGTGTGTGTGTGTGTGTGTGTGTGTGTTGTGCAGGATGAGAGGGAGAACATGCTATGGTGCACCTGTGGAGGTCAGAAGGCAACTTTGGGGAATCAGTTCTCTCCTTCCACCTGTACCTGAGTTCCAGGGATTTAACTCAGGTCATTAGACTTGTGCTGCAAGCACCATTACCAGCTGAAACATCTCACCAGGCCCCACAATAAATATTCTTGTTCTCTAGATACCAGTATGACCGATCATTCACTGAATAGTATATTCTTTCCCCACTCGTCTTTAGTGCTTCTGTGATATGTTGACCAGTCTGTTGCTGGGCATTTTGTTCTATTCATCTCTTTCTGGATACCTTTACCAGAAATACAGGATCTGAGTTACTATTGTTTTAATAAATCTTGGTATCTGATAGGGTGAAAGCCCACTCACTTTTCTTCTTTCATAAATGCCTTAGCTACTCCTGGTCCTTTACTTTTTCTTTTTTAAATTTATTTTTGTTTCATGGGTATGAGTGTTTTGCCTGCATGTATGGATGTGCACCACATGTTTGCAGTGCCCACAGAGGCCTAAAGAGGGTTTTGGATCCCCTAGAACTGGAGTTAACCAATGGTTGTTAGCTGCCATATAGGAACTGAACCTTGGTCCTCTGCAAGAGCAGCCAGTGCTCTTAACTGCTGAGACATCTCTCCAACCCCATCCTTTGCTTTTTCTTATCACTTTAAGACTGTCAGTAGAATCCTCATGGAAATTCTGTCGCCACAGAGGCCTAAAGAGGGTTTTGGATCCCCTAGAACTGGAGTTAACCAATGGTTGTTAGCTGCCATATAGGAACTGAACCTTGGTCCTCTGCAAGAGCAGCCAGTGCTCTTAACTGCTGAGACATCTCTCCAACCCCATCCTTTGCTTTTTCTTATCACTTTAAGACTGTCAGTAGAATCCTCATGGAAATTCTGTCGGTAAAAATATAAAATGAAAATTGGTAT